TTTTTTTTTTTTGTCTATATATTTACCTCATGTCCAACATTAATAGATAGACCCAACAAAAATTTGGTCCGGAAATGATAAGAAATGTGGCTGCATTGTTGCTCGTGAGGGTAAGTTTGGCCAGGGCTCAGCTCGAGGTTGAGTCTGAGAAGATCAAGTTAGAGCCACAAATTACCAGTTATAACATTCATCTGGTTAACATTTAAAAGTCCTTAGTATAATGGTGCACTGCAAGTCGAGGGATGATGATCTGGAAGTTCATAATTTACTTCATCGGGGAGATGATTACCATTTTGGTTTTAAGGTTAATGTTTGGGAAACAACCCTCTTTTCGTGTAGAGTAGAAAAGCAGAATGCATACATCTCTTTTAAATGCTTTTGGCTAGAAAGACACCTCAGATGGCTTCGTGATAGATGCAAAGATGGAAATGAAGGAACTTGTATCTGAAAGGTTAAAGATGATGGAATTTCCTTGAGAAACAATGCAGCTAATACCGAAGAATTGGTTCATACTTGGATCAAGTCAAAGAACCTTTATTATTAATTCATTTTGTTCTTGAGTTATTTATTAATTCATTTTGTTCTTGAGTTAATTCATTTTGTTTTTGAGAAAAAGTTTGGGTAATTGTTTTTTTTTTTTTAAGTTAAGTTTATTTCCTTCAAAATTTAAAATTAAAAACAAAAATAGTTTCCCAATTTTAATTTATTGATAAGTAAAGATTTCACTTTTTTTTTAATATTTTTAGTTGAAACTATGTTGTTTTTTACACCAAAGTTTTGAGAATGTTTTGTGACGTATGTTTGTGTTTCTGTCACCTATTTTAATTTTAATTGAAAATTTTTATTTATTCTTTTGGGAGTGGGTTTCAAAAAAAAAAAATCATTTCTTAATAAATATAATTCACTTCAAATAAAATTTTTAATGGATATTCTTCCCTTTTTAATATTATTTTTATTAAAAAATGTAATAGTTGATTCAATAATGGAATATTAAAAACGTTTCTAATAATGACAAATTTGTTACCAAATTTGAAAAACAATATTTAGTGACTTATAAGCCCCGTTCCAATGTAATAAAAGAGTGAGAACGAAAATGAAAATGTGATGGCTATGACAACAATATCCTACAAGATTCTTAAATACAAAACCATAGGGTGATTCTAAATTTAGAAATCATTTTATTACTATATTTTACCTTTGATTGCAAAATCTTTTATAATTTTATTTCGAATTACCAACTTCTCTTTTTATCTTCATTTTGGATCGGAAAATAGTTGCTTGAATAAAAAATATAAGTGAGGTTCATGGCCAAGGATAAAGATGCCCAAGTAACCATTTCGTATACTAAAATTCAAAAACATTATTGACTAAAATATATTACAAAAATTTCATACCATCAAAACGATTAGGAAGGATTGAAGTTAATAGTTTAATAATAAATCATTTTTATGTTTTTTTTTTTCAACTTTTAAAAAATGATTTTTGTATAACCAATTAAACATTTACTTTAACTATATTATTTTATTATGCTAAATTAATAAGTTATCAATTATCATCTCAGATATTGTTCGATCTCGCAATATTAAGACAATTGTTCGATCTCGCAATATTAAGATGATTGAACCAAAAAAACGATAGAAAAATAATAGTTTAACATATTAATATAGTTAAAATATTGAGAGTCCAGGAATTCACAAGTTAAAATATTGACCGTCGAGGAATTTACAATTTGAGTAATTGTGGAAATGAATACAAATGGAACTGGAGAAGCTCGGTGCCTATGTCTCTTTTGATAGCTTTTGGCCTGAGTCGAAGAAGGACAGATGGCTTCGTGAGAGGTGCATAAATGGAAAAGACTTTTCATAAATGGGTGCATAAATGGAAAAGAATGATCTTTAAATAAATGGACAGATGGCTCCGGCTAGAATTGATGAATTAGTTCACCAGTGGATCAACCACAAAAAATAATTATGCATTTGAAGTTAAATAAAGTAAAGTTTTGTTTGATAAAATAATGTATTATTTTTCAACGCTATTATATAATATTTATAACTTTAATCTTATATTATAACAAAGTTAATTAGTCGGTTAGATTTTTTTTTATATATAAATTTATTTAATTATTTAAATATCATTTATTAATTATATTTTAATATAGTTTAATTAAAATCCACACCCATCACACCTACAAATAAGTTTTCATCAACCTTTCATCTTAGTTTCTTCACGTGAGATTTTCCATCCATTCTAAATTTACGTGTCATTACTTCATCAAGACCATAAATATGATCAATGTAGCCTACTTGAAGTACAAAGTACAATACTGGTATTTACAATTTCTACTCACTATTATATTGCTCAATACTTTTGCGGATAATATTACTAATTTCATTTGCTTGGAGGGTTACCATGAGTATTTAGTAATTCTTTTTTCTCGGAAGCCCAAAGCAAAGTCATGAGAGCTTATGCTCATAGTGGGCAATATCATACCATTGTGGAGAGTCGTGTTCGTCTAACATGGTATCAAAGTCATACTCTAAATTTAGTCAACTCCAAAAAGAAAAAGGAGTCAAGCCTCTTCGAAGACAGTAAAAAATGACAAGACTCCAAAGGAGTCGAGCCTCGATTAAGGGGAGGCACACTTTGTTCGAGGGAGAGATGTTAGAGGATGAAAATCCCACATGGACTAATTTAGGAAATGATCATGCGTTTATAAACAAAGAGACACTTAAAAAGATAGATTTACTCGTTTAATTTTGGAACTGATGAGTTACTTCACAAATGGAGAAGTTTTATTAATTCATATTAACAATTAAAAATATCCATGCATTTGAAACTATCTAGCATCAAATTCGGAACAAAATTAAATTATGAATATATTAATTTTTTAGATAACCTATTTTTAATCATCTTTTTTTCCATCATAGGCACGTAATTAAAGGAGTATTGCATGAAATTATGTTGCATACCGCAAAATTTGTTACATAATTAATTTTTTTAATCTCATTTCTTTAATTTTTTTTTTCTATATATTTACCCCAGGTCCAACTTTAATAGATAGACCCAACAAAAATTTAGATCACAAAATGATAAGGAATGTGACTGCATTATTGCTCGTGACGGTGGGTTTGGGTTTGGTCGGGGCTCAGCTTGAGGTTGAGTCTGAGAAGACCAATGTACAACCAATTTCCAAGTATTTCATTCATCTTGTTAATGATCTAAGCATCCCCGATATGACGGTGCACTGCAAGTCGGTCGACAATAATTTAGGAATTCATCGCTTGCTTAAATTGGGAGATGATTACCAATTTAACTTTAACTATAATTTTTTGAAACCAACTGTGTATTAGTGCAAAGTGGATAAGCCGAATGCATGTATATTTTTCCAATGCTTTTGGCCCGAGAAGAATAGCACATGGCTTCGTGATAGATGTCGAAACGGAGATGTAGGAACTTATACTTGGAAGTTTAAAGACGGTGGAATTTACTTGAGAAACAATGCAGCTAATACTGATGAATTAGTTCATATTTGGATCAATATGTGATCAACAACTTTTATTAATTTATTTTGTTCTTGAGTTATTTATGTTCATAAACGAATGAAAATGTATACCTAACGTTGAAGGTGAATAAAAAGAATAAGTTGGGTAACCCTGTTTTTTTTTTAATATATTTTATTTTTGTTTTATTTTATTTTATTTTTATTTTACAAGTTTTTTTTCTCTAAAAAAATTTTCTAAAAAAATTTCCAAATTTTAATTCATTCGTAGATAATGGCAAAAATGACCATTGACTTTGACATTTTTTTTAATATATTTTAAATTGACCATAATACCTTTTTAAGATTGACTTTGACATTTTTTTTTAATATATTTTAAATTGAAATTTAAAATTTATAATGTCACGAAGGAAAAGAAATTAGATTGAAATGTTTTACCTTATTTTATTGATTATGATTTTTAGAATTAAAGTAGAGTTTAATAATAAATCAATTTTATGTTTTTTTCCACATTTTGAAAAATAATTTTAAGAAATGATTTTTATATTACCAACTAAATTTTTACGTTTAGCTAAATTAATAATTTATCAATTATGATATTTTGATCTCACAGATGATATTTTTAGATTTTAGAGAAATAAATGTATAATATATTAATATAGCTAAAATAAAATACTATTTTTTCAATTAATTAATCATTTATAATTGTTATAATTATCCTAATAATTTTTTTAAAATTTAATTTGAGTATTCGTTTTAACAAAATTCATGAACACAAGTAAATAAGAAACTTTTCATCTTAGTTTCTTTACGTGAGATCACACATCAGTTAGAGAGAGTGAATAATTTCGAATCATTTCTTATAAGTGCGTTCCAATTCTTTCCAAGTAAAATTTTGAATTGGATCCTCGTAAACGCGTTATAAAACTTTGAGACTGACAACGTAACGGGTCAAAACGGCCAACTGGTCAAAACTGATAATATCCACTAGTGGTGGACTTGGGCTGTCTAACTGGTCAAAACCGATAATATCCAGTCAAAACCGATAATATCCAGTCAAAATCGATAATATCCAGTAGTGGTGGACTTGAGCTGTTACAAATTGTATCAAAGAGGCATTTGGTTAAAATCATGAAAACCTCTCTCTAAAAACGGCCGGATTTGTATTTGTATTGTAATATCATTTTTAAATTAAAACTAGAAAATTAGTATATTGAAATATTGATATTGAAAAAATAAATTGAACTTATATGTTGAAAGTATCTTCCACAAAATTAGGAAGATGTTAATTTTTTTTAGATAACCTATATTTAATGTTCAGAAATAACAATTTTTTTCTATCTTAGGCCGTAATTAAAGGAGTATTACCATGAAATTATCTTGCATAACGCAAAGTTAGTTAGATAATTTATTTTCTTTTAAAACAAAATTGTCTATATATTTACCTCATATCCAACGTTAAAAGATAGACCCAACAATTCAACAAAAATTTGGTTCGAAAATGATTAGGTATGTGGCTGCATTGTTGCTTGTGACGGTGGGTTTGGTTGGGGCTCAGCCTGAGGTTCAGTCTAAGAAGATCAATATACGACCGCTAATTTCCAAGTATTATGTTCATTTGATTAACGATCTAAGCAGCCCCGATATGACGGTGCACTGCAAGTCGGGCGACGATGATTTAGGATTTCATCATTTACATAAGGGAGAGGATTTCCAATTTCACTTTAAGATTAATTTTTGGAAAACAACTCTGTTTTGGTGCACAGTGGAAAAGCCAAATGCATATATCTCTTTCCAATGCTTTTGGCCGGAGAGGAAGAGCTCATGGCTACGTGATAGGTGCAAAGATGGAGATGTAGGAAGTTGTATCTGGAGGATTAAAGATGATGGAATTTACTTGAGATTCAATGCAGCTAATACCGAAGAATTGATTCATAAATGGATCATTACGAGATAAAAAATCGAACCTTTATTATTAATTCATTTTGTTCTTGAGTTATTTATGTGATTTGGAAGTTTAATAAAGAAAATAAGTTGGGTCTCTCTAGTTGAACCTTTATTATTAACTCATTTCGTTCTGAGTTATTTACGAACATATGATTTGGAAGTTTAATAAAGAAAATAAGTTGAGTTACCGTAGTCGATTGTTTGTTTTTTTTTTCATACAAATATATTTCATAACTAATTTAAGTTTTTTTCTTCCAAAAAAAATTGCCAAATTTTAATTCATTTGTAGACGCATGTAAAAATGATCAAATACATTTATAGGTTGACTTTTGACATTTTTTTTTAATATATTTTGTATTATACTAATTGATTGTTTGTATTTTTTATGTTCTATTACGAAATATTGATGTTTTTGTTGCTAATTTAGGTAAATTTTAATTTTGAAAATTAATGAAATTTGTTGTAACTCATGTTGCTCATTACAAGCTTGTACACATGCTTCTGGAGCTACTCGGTTAGCTACAGAACTTGGTGCATTACTCCAAGGGTGCCCCAACGTTCTTCCGTCATATGTCAAACCTGAATACCATCAGAAGCCACTTGCAGAATATTTGGTAAAAAAAAATCATCTCTCAAGAAGCTTGTCCAGTATTATTCATATATTCTCTAGATTAAAATATTTATATTGAAAAGTTAATAAATCTAAAATATTTATATTGAAAAGTTAATAAATCTCAAACGTATTATTATGATTATAATGAATTTTTAATTTTCGAAATAACTATCTTTTTCCATCATACACACATAATTAATGGAATATTACCCTGAATTGAAAACATTTTTAATATAGCTATAATGAATGTTATAATTATAATTTATATAAGTTAGGATGAAAACATTTTATAAAGTTTTGTGAAACTATAAAATATTTAATAATTTATAATGGTTATAATTATGGTAATAATCTTTTAATATTATTTCTTTTTCATTCTATAAATTTAATTAATTATTTAAATATGGTTAATTATATTTTGATATAGTTTAATTTGAGTACTCTTTTTTACCATATTTCTATTTGGTATTTAGAATTATTAAATTTTTATTGGGTTAATATGAATCAAATAATAAATCTGTACCTAATTATTGCAATATTATTATTAAATTAAATTTAATAACACCAAATTAGATAGTTCATTAATTTTCTTCCATAATTTCTCGTTTGTGATGTATATTTATATTCACATAATATTAATAGATTGATAAACCAAAAAAAATGTTTAAGAAAATGATTAGAAACGTGATTATTTTGTTGCTCATCAATGTGACTTTTGCTCAAGTTCGACTTGTTACAAGAGTTACGTTACCTCTACTTATACCTACAACTTATAACGTTCATGTTGTTAATGGGCTAAGCAATGTCGGGTTAATTACTACAACTTATAACGTTCATGTTGTTAATGGGCTAAGCAACATCGGGTTAATTGTGCATTACCAATCGAAGGACAATGATTTGGGGACTCACAATTTGCTTAATCTTGAATACCAATGGATTGTTTTTTTGTTTTTTAATTATATAATAATGTATTTGTTTATATCGAAAATCTAATTCATATATTCGAGTCCTAATAAAAAAGATATTGTCTAAGAGATTATATATTAATAATTTTCTATATTTTTTATATTTTATCTTGAAATATTGATTTGAAATTTCTATGTTGAAAAGTTAATGAATCTCAACCTATTATTGGGATGAAACGAATTAGGAAGTTATTAAATTTTTTTAGACCTTTTTACCATATGTAATCCAATTAATTTTTGAAATAAGGATCTTTTTCTATCTTAGACACAATAATTAAAGAAGTATTACCATGAAATTATCTTGCATAACCTAAAATTAGATAGATAATTAATTTTCTTAAATTTATCTCTTTAATTATTATTTTTTTTGTCTATATATTTACCTCAGATCCAACGTTAATAGATAGACCCAACAAAAATTTGGTTTAGAAAATGATAAGGATTGTGGCTGCATTGTTGCTAGTGACGGTGAGTTTGGTCGGGGCTCACCTCGAGGTTGAGTTTGAGAAGATCAATATAAAGCCGCCACTTTCCAGGTATTACATTCATTTCGTTAACGATCTAAGCATCCTTGGTATGATGGTGCACTGCCAGTCGAAGGACGATGATTTGGGAGTTCATCATTTGCTTAATCGAGGAGATAATTACCAATTTAACTTTAGGGTTAACTTTTGGAGAACAACCCTCTTTTGGTGTGATGTGGATAGGCCGGATGCACACGTCTCTTTTCAATGCTTTTGGCCTGAGAAGAGGAGCACATGGCTTCGTGATAGATGTCGAGATGGGAATGTAGGAACTTGTATCTGGAAGTTTAAAGATGATGGAGTTTACTTGAGAAACAATGCAGCTAATACTGATGAATTGGTTCATAAATGGACCTTTACAAGATAAAGAACTTTTATTATTAATTCATTTTGTTCTCATGAACAAATGAAAGGTACACCAACATTTAAAAGTTGAATAAAGAATAAGTTACGGGTTGAATGTTTTTTTTTTTTTTAAATATATTTGATAAATTAAGTTTTTTTTTCCTCTAAAATTGAACATTAATAACAAAAATTTTAAATAATGCTTACCATTAGAGGACCATTCTTACATGGGTTCACTTATAATAGCATTTTTTCAAACATTATAATATAGTATTTATAGTTTTATAACAAAGTTAATTAGTCGTAATAATCTTTTGATACTATTTCTTTTTCATTATATAAATTTATTTAAATATGTAAATATGATTTAAATAATTATATTTTGATATAATTTAATTAGTGAAATTAGTGAAATATAATTTAATTTGATTACTAGTTTTTACCATATATATTCTATTAATAGTTGTTTGTATTTTTTATCTCTTTCCAAATATTGATATTTTTGTTGTAACTTAGGTAAGTTAAGTTGTATTGAAAATTAATGAAATATTTTCTATATCTAATGCAATATTATCATTAATTAATTTTCATAATGCAAAATTAGATAGTTGATTAATTTTCTTAAAACCAAAACATTCCTTAATTTCTCGTTTTTGCTAGGGCTCAAGTACCTCCACCGGTACCTATAACGTATAATGTTCATGTTGTTAATGGGCTAAGCAACCTCGCGTTGGTGGTGCATTGTCAGTCCAAAGATGACGATTTAGGAATTCACAATTTGACTAATCGTAGAGATGAATACAAATGAAACTGTAAGGAAAACCATTGGGGAACAACCCTATTTTGGTGCAGATGGGATGGAAGAAGTCGGGTGCCTATGTCTCTTCTGATAGCTTGACCTAAGTCCAAGAAAAATAGATGGCAGTCCAAGAAAAATAGATGGCAGTCCAAGAAAAATAGATGGCTCGTGAAAAGTGCAGAAACTAGCAAAAGGAACTTGTATGCGATAATTTAAATTTTTTTTATCTAAAATTTGTTAATTAATAAAAAAATAAGTGAAATGTCTACGAATTTAAACTATCTTGCACAAAATTAGGAACCCATTAATTTTTTTAGATCTTTTTACCATATGGAATCTATTTGTAGTCTTCTAAATAACGATATTTTTCCATTTTAGGCACGTAATTAATGGAGTACTGCTCCAAAATTAGTTAGATTTTTTTTTTTTTTGTCGTCTATATATTTACCTCATGTCCAACATTAATAGACAGCCCCAACAAAAATTTGGTCCGGGAATGATAAGGAATGTGGCTGCATTGTTTCTCATGACGGTAAGTTTGGTCGGGGCTCAGCTCGAGGTTGAGTTTGAGAAGATCAAGTTAGAGCCTCAAATTACCCGTTATACCATTCATTTGGTTAATGATTTGAAAGTCTTTGGTATAATGGTGCACTGCAAGTCGAGGGATGATGATTTGGGAGTTCATTACATGCCTCATCGGGGAGATGATTACCATTTTGGTTTTAAGGTTAATGTTTGGGAAACAACTCTCTTTTGGTGCAGAGTGGAAAAGCAAAATGCATACGTCTCTTTTGAATGCTTTTGGACAGAAATGCGCCACAGATGGCTTCGTGATAGATGCAAAGATGGAAATGTGGGAACTTGTATCTGGAAGGTTAAAGACGATGGAATTTACTTGAGAAACAATGCAGCCAACACTGAAGAATTGGTTCATACTTGGATCATTACGAGATAAAGAACCTTTATTATTAATTCATTTTGTTCTTGAGTTATTCATGAACAAATGAAAAATATACCGGACCTTGGAGTTGAATAAAGAGAAAGTTGGGTAACACTTGTTGCTTGTTTTTTTTTTTTGTTTTTTTTTTATTAACTCAATCAAGTTTATTTCGGTCAAAATTTAAAATTAAAAACAAAAATAGTTTCCAAATTTTAATTTATTGATAAGCAACATTTTTTAATATTTTTAGTTTAAACTTTGTTGTTTTTTACGAGTTTTGTTTTCTGACGAGGTTTCTGTCACCTATTTTGATCTTAATCGAAAATTTTCATTTATTCTTTTAAGAGTTTCAAAAAAAAAAATTATAAATATAATTTTTTTTAATGGATATTCTTCAATTTTGAATATAATTTTTATTAAAAAAATGTAATAGTTTGTTCAATAATTAAAGACATTTCATAATAATGATAATAATGACAAATTTGTTACCAAATTTTAAAAAAAAAATATTTAGTAACTTATAAAAAGGCGTATTCTAAAATTTAAAAAAAAAAAAAAAAAAACTATTGACTAAAATATATTACAAAAATTTCATACAATCACACTTGGAAGGTAAGGTCAATAGTTTAATAATAAATCCTTGTTATGTTTTTTTTTTCTTTTAAAAAATGATGTTTATATTACCAATTAAACATTTATTTTAACTATATTATTTTATTATCCAAGTTATCAATTATCATCTTAGATATTGTTCGATCTCGCAATATTAAGACATTGAATGAAAAAGAAGATAGAAAAATAACAGACAGTCTAAAGATGATGTTTTGGGAATTCACAATTTAAGTAATCGAGGAGATGAATACAAATAGAACTGGAGAAGCTTGGTGCCTGTGTTGCCTAAGTCGAAGAAGAACAGATGGCTCTGTGAAAGGTGCATAAATGGAAAAGAAGGATCTATCTTTACATAAATGGAATAGATGGGCTAGAATTGATGAATTAGTTCACAAGTGGATCTTTACCTGATGACAAGTTTTTAGTTCATTTGGTTGAATTATCCATTATCAACTACGAAAAATAATTATGTATTTGAAGTTAAATAAAAAAAATAGAGTTTTGTTGGATAAAATAATGTATTATTATCTTTCACTTATAATAACATTGTTTCAATATTATAATATAATATTTATAGCTTTAATCTTATATTATAACAAAGTTTATTAGGAGTTACTTCATCCAGACCAATATTTCGTCATTACTTCATCAAGACCATAAGTTCTACTCACAAGCTCAATATGTTTACAGAATTTAATTAATTCATTGAGTTAGTTGAATTATCTATTAACAATTAAAAATATCCATGAATTTGAAACTATTTAGCATAAAATTAGGAACAAAATTAAATTAGGAAGATATTAATTTTTTAGATCCTATTTTTAAAGGAGTACTACCTCTGCACTGTTGCTCATGATGGTGGGTTTGGTCGGTGAGAAGATCAATATACAACCGCTAATTTCTAAGTATTACATTCATTTGATTAACGATTTAAGTATCCCCGATATGACGGTGCACTGCAAGTCGAGCAACGACCATGATTTAGAAATTCATCATTTATAGAAGGGAGAGGATTACCAATTTAATTTTAGGGTTAAGAGGATTACCAATTTAATTTTAGGGTTAAGAGGTTTACCAATTTATGTTTTGCCTTTGGCCTTTCCCAGCTTAGGTGGAAGAGCTAGAATTCTAGCCTTGTGTCACGACATAATTATCATAACTTTTTCTCGGTGTATAAATTTTGTGATATAATTTAATTAGAGTACTCACTTTTAGCTAAATCCACGCCTATCAAACGAAAGTTTAATGTTGTACACAAGTAAATAAGTTTCTATCAACTTTTCATTTTAGTTTTTATTCTTGAGATCTCACATCGGTTAGAGAGGAGAATGAATCATTTCTTTATAAGTGTGTGGGCGTTTTAAAGTAGAGGCATTTGGAAATAGAACAAATAGTGGTGTCACCAAATGGCCTAAAATTTTGTATTATACAAACTGATTGTCTGTATTTTCCATTTTCTGTTTCGAAATATAGATGTTTTTGTTGCTCATTTAGGTATGTTTTGAAAATTAATGAAAGTTGTTGTTAACTCACGTCACTCATTACGAGCTTGTACACATGTTCTAGAGCTACTCGGTTAGATACGGAACCTTGTGCATTACCCCAAGGGTGTCCCAAAGTTTTTCCGCCGAATTATGGTTCAGAATCATCTCAAAATCTCGATTAGAGTAGACATATGCCAAACCTGAATACCACCCGAGAAACCACTTGAAGAATACTTGCAGAATATTTGGTAAAAAAATCATTTTTCAAGAAACTTGTCTAGTATTATTCATATATTTAAGTCGTAACAAAATATTATATATGAGATTCTATATTTTCTTTTTTTCTATTTTTTATTTTAAAATATTGATATTGAAAAGTTAATAAATCTCAACGTATTATTATGAGGAAACTATCTAACACAAGATTAGGAAGATATTAATTTTGTTCCGATAACCTATTTTTAATCTTCGAATAACTATCCTTTCTATCTTAGGCACGGAATTAATGGAGTATTGCCATGAACTTAGGTTGCATAAGCAAAATTAGTTAGATAATTAATTTTCTTTAATTTTTTTTGTCTATATATTTACCTCATGTCCAACCTTAATAGGCAGACCCAACAAAAATTTGGTCCAGAAATGATAAGGAATGTGGCTGCATTGTTTCTGGTGATGGTAGGTTTGGTCGGGGCTCAGCTTGAAGTTGAGTCTGAGAAGATCAATGTAGAGCCTCCGCGAATTTCCAGTTATAACATTCATTTGGTTAACGATCTACAAGTCCTTGGTATAACGGTGCACTGCAAGTCAAAGGATAATGATTTGGGAGTTCATAATTTGCCTCATCGGGGAGATGATTACCATTTTAGTTTTAAGATTAATGTTTGGCAATCAACCCTCTTTTGGTGCAGAGTGGAAAAGCAGAATGCATACATCTCTTTCGAATGCTTTTGGACAGAAATACACCACAGATGGCTTCGTAATAGATGCCAAGATGGAGATGTAGGAACTTGTACCTGGAAGTTTAAAGATGATGGAATTTACTTGAGACACAATTCAGCTAATACGGATGAATTGGTTCATACTTGGATCAATATGTGATAAACAACCTTTATTAATTTATTTTGTTCTTGAGTTATTCACACTCATCAACAAATGAAAATGAAAATGTATACCAAGGTTGAAGGTGAATGAAAAGAATAAGTTGGGTAACCCTTGTTGATTGTCTTTTTTTTTTTTTATTTATTTATTTTACAAACATAACTAATTTAAGTTTTCCAAATTTTAATTCATTTGTAGATATAGGTAAAAATGACAAATGCGATTGACTCGACATTTTTTAATATATTTTAAATTGAAAATTAAAAATTATAGTGTACCAAATGAAAAGAAATTAGATTAAAATGTTTTAAAAAACTAAAAAAGTTACTTATTTTATTGTTTATGGTATATTTTTATAAAAATGATTTTCTTACCATCTAACACTTGAAAGGATTAAGTTTATTTTCCACATTTTAAATAAAAGATGATATTTTTAGATTTTAGAAAAATAAATGTATAATATATATAGCTAAAATAAAATACCATAGCATTGATGCTGAGTATAATATTTATAGTTTTAATCTTATATTATAACAGTTATTTAATCATTTATAATTGGGATAATTATCATAATAATTTTTTATTCGTCGTATAAATTTATTTAATTGTTTAAATATCATTTGATATAATTTAATTTGAGTATTCATTTTTAGCTAAATCCACATCCATGTGTAAATGAGTTTAATGTTGGTACCGAAGTAAATAAGAAACTTTTCATCTTAGTTTCTTTACGTGAGATCCCACATTGGTTAGAGATGAGAATGAATCATTTCTTAAAAGTGTGTTAGACACCAATAACAGACAATAGGTGGGCTTGGGCTGTCACAAATTGTATCAAATACATCGAGATGTGAAACATCCCCCTAAAAGAGGCATTTGGTTCACGTTTTAAAATCATGAGATACACGTTTGGTTCACATTTTAAAATCATACATTTTAAAATCATAAGCTAAAGATTAAAGATATGTAACCCCATGAGATACGCCCAGACAAAATGGACTTGTACTTATTGTAATGTAATATGATATTGAAATATTGATATTGAAAAAATAAATTCTAACTTATGATGAAAATTATTACCATGAAATTATCTTGCATACCCAAAATTAGTTACATAATTTATTTTCTTAAATTTTTTTTTTTTTTAATATTTATCTCAAATTTGGTTCGAAAAAGATAAGGAGTGTGCCACCCTTTTCAAGGAAATATAGAATAGCAGAAACGTTTAAATAGGTTTGATTCTTTATCGGATCATAAAAACCCACTTCACGATCTCTTCCTTCTCTTCAGGCTCGAACATCAATTGCAATGATTCGATAAACGGCTCATTGGAATAGTAGAAGCATTTGGTTCACGTTTTAAAATCATGAGATACATAACAGGCTTATCTTACATTTCATTTCTCCGACTGTACGTCCGTTGATTCAAAATCATCCCAAAAAAAATTCAAAATGGATAAGAACATATCATAGTGTATGATGCAAACTTGTTTACCCTATACCGAACGATTGTCTGTATTTTCTATTTAAATATTGATGTTTTTATTGGTAACTTAGGTAAGTTTTGAACATTACTATAAATCAAATAATAAATTTGTATCTAATTAATATCATGAAATTTCTAATTCATTTTCTTAAAACGTTACATGCATTTCCTTAATTTATGTTTGTGATGTATATTTATATTCACATAATATCAATACATAGATGAACAAAAAAAAAATATATATATGAAAATGATTAAGAACGTGGTTGTTTTGTTGTTGGGCATGGTGGCTTTTGTTGGGGCTCAGGTTCCGGGAATTATATATCAACCGAAACCTTCAAGGTATTACGTTCATGTTGCTAATGGTCTAAGCACTCTTCCGCTGACAGTGCATTGCCAGTCCAAAGACGATGATTTGGGGATTCACCATTTGCCTAATCGTGGAGATGATTTCCAATGGAACTTTAAGGTAAACTTTTGGGGAACAACCCTCTTTTGGTGCAGATTAGAGAGGCCGGATGCGTATGTCGCTTTTGAAACCTTTTGGCCTGAGTCGAAGAACGCATGGCTCCGTAATAGGTGCAGAAACGGAACTCAAGGAACTTGTTTATGGATAGCTAAAGATGATGGAATTTACCTATTTAACTTTCCTGCAAATAATGACGAGTTGATTCACAAATGGATCTTTTAGTCATTCGCTTTGTTCTTGAATTATTCACGAACAACAAATAAAAAAATATACAGCAGAATAAAGTGAATAATTTGGGCAACGCTCATTGATTGTTCGTTTTTTTTTTTTTTCGTATCACATATTTGATAACTATATAATAAGAAAAATTGAAACTTATGTAAGGACGTTAAAATGACCCAAATACCCTTCTAGGGTTAGATTTTGACTTTTTTTTTTTTTTTTTTTTC